CGCCTCTCCCTCCCCGCCGCTTCCGTCGGCCAGTAAACAGGTATCCGGAATTCGTTTACAAACTTTTCTAGCCCACCTACCGATCGCCCTTATCGCGGGTCACCTCCGCTGCCGCCGCCGCCGCCGCCGACGTCTCGGCCTCCGCCTCCCTTGAGACTCCCCGCCCCTCATTTACTCCGATGACGGTGGGATTCCTGACACGGGCTGATCAGTGCCTCTTGAGGGCAATAGAGCGCAACACGGAGACCCTAGCCCTTAAAACAGCTTAGGCTCTTCTTCACCCCAAGGCGAGTGAAGGGAAATGGAGGAAGGGCGGGGGCAGGAGCAGCTAAGGAAGGCTAGCCTGCTTTTTTTTTTTTACTCACTCGGCAAGGGAACCGCCCACCCCTTTTCCGGATTACTGATGACGACGACGAGTTCCTCGAGAACGAGGTGAGTTCAGCTCGCCTTGTTTTGCATTGTCGAACTCCGGTTAGGGAGCTGTGTCGCGTGATCCAACGACCAAAAGACGAGGGATGTTAGGGCGTGTGGCCTCGTTCCTCCTCTCTTAACCAAGTCGGCCTCTAGTGAGACGACGGCCCGCTGATGTTTGAATCTTTGTTGTTCGGAATCTAATCATCTGGGCCTCTTCCGAAGTTTCAGCTTCAACGGGCGTGACTTTGTTCGTCCTGTCCAACTTGCCCTGTCCTAGCCGGTGCATTTTCCGCCGGTTAGACTTTGTGAGATCTTACACAACTCCTATCTTCTCCATGGCAGTTGCTCGAATTTTGGCCTCTCTCCTCCCTTCTTCCCAAGGAATGGATCACGGCCAAGACCGGGAGGATCATGGCGGCTCAGGATGCCCAGGTGGATGGCCTGGTTTCAGGCGCTGTCACATGAAATCGGAAGCACACCTGTAATGGAGGGGTCGGATAGTCAAAATCCAAACATGTTATCGACCCGAATCCTTTTTTTAACTTCCTTTTTCGCAACCATCCGATAGCTTCGGGTTGTCTCACACCTTTTCACGCTTTATTCCTTAGCCATCCCCCTCCTTGGATAAAAAGGGTCAGGAGCCCCGAGGTGGCCACCGGTAGCGGCGGTCCTAGTCAAAAGAAGAGACAAAAGAGTGAGGGGTGGGGTCCATTCCAAGCTCGTGGGTGGTTTTGATGAACCCTTGTCTCACCTTGGCCATCCTTCACGTTTCCCGACTACCGACATGCTTTAATAAAGCCTTGCTAAGGGCGAGAATGGATACGGGGAAACAAACAAAGTAAGGCTTGTCATTATAGAGAAGAATGGTGGGTGGAAACGTAACCCCGAATTGCAAAAAGAACAAGGTATGGAATACGCACAACAAGGTAATGGATGTTTTTGCACGACTTGTTCCATGTATCAAGGACCTCAACTCTCGGCTACGGAACTCTGGGGAGGGCTCATGGTTCACCTTCGTCTCCCGAACAGGTTATGGCCAGGCTCCCATACCACCTCTCTCTGGAATTAGTACCTAAACAGCCGTTACGATGGAGTTGAAGCTATACAGGGAGAAAAGTGCCCGCTCGGTCCAAGCGTTTACATCACCAGGCGCGTCCATGGGTGGATGTGAGTGAGTCAGGGCTCCCAGATATTCGTATGCAAGGCCGCCACGGTCCTCAAGTTACAAGTATCTTTTGGCAGTGTGAACCGGGATAATGAGGCGCGAGGGTAGATAGCAGAGTAGCACAAGGGGAAGAAAAAGAAAAGAAGCGAGAAGAAAGCAAGCCCTCCCACTCTTGGGCTGACATGCCTTCTCTTGTCACCTTGAACACCGATATGGGGGCCGCCGCTCTCCCCTGCGAGCGTGCAGCTTCCTAGCCTCAGTGGCGCTCTAAGAATGGCGTTTTAATGTTGGTCCAAGCCGCCATTACCGATTTAAAGTAATTTGGCGTGGGGCGGGGTGGAAGGAAGAGGAGAGGAGAGACATATGTCGCTCGAGGCTGGCGTGAGTGAGTCTACGCCACAAGTTCCCGGGTTTCCGGGTGGTTCGTCCTCTTGAAAGGGGAGAATCTCCTTTGGCTACGAGATGGGCGACTGCAGATGACGATGAGGAGAGATGCTCGAGGAAGTTTTTTCCTTTATTTTTTCTCTTTGAGCATCCCCCTTTTCTTTCTTCTCTGCTTCCCGGTTACTTTTCTTTTCTTTTTATATGTCGGAGCCACTGTCCCGGTACTGGAGGGCCTGCGGCTCGCCATGCTTTTCCTCCCCTTCCCGCCCCCATTTTTCATCTGCTTCGTTACTTGTTCTCGGATGAAGGATCAGAGGGGGGCAGCACTATAAAGCCCGGAAAACGAAATGCTGCTCCCGAGAAGGAGGGGAGGGGTACTTTCCGGGTGAGCAAGTGGGTTGGGTTGATGGGAAGTGAGGAATTCGCCCGAGTCCTGGGCAGATGATTTGGTAGGAATACGAGCCGCGATCCGTGAATGTAGGATGTAATCTGGTGTGTTCAGCCACAACCACCCCATCCAACTACATGCACCACACACATATATACGCTCACACTCTCGCTTCGCATTCGCAAGCACACATACACCCACGCCAAGGAATGAAAGAAAAGAAAAGAAGGAGAGGGAAAAAAAAAAAAAAGAGCCTAGTCCCCGATCTCGATCCCTCAGCAATACTCGTGATCGAGGCGCCCTCGCGCAGCGCGTCGTTCCTCGGGAGGCCCCCGTTGATCTGCTTCCTTCGGCACGCTTTCACGTCGATAGAGAGGGCGGCGGGAGCCGGTCCTCCTTTTCCAGACCCCATCCCCACGCGTAGCTACCAGTTTTACCCTTCCCCCGCTTGCCGCCTGACACTAACTCATGGATCCAGTTTCCGGCTCCAAAGCCAGGAATTCTAGGGCATGTGAGTACCGCGGGCAGAGAGAGTCTCAGGTTCAAGCGGAGGGAAAAGCAGGGAAAAAAGGCTTGGAGGGGGGACGGGTTTCATGTAACATGATAACAATATCCATTGTCTGCAGCCTCCCCTCAGGCGAGTGCTATCTATTGGTCTTTTGCATCTTTGCATCCTCATATCTCTCCGAGCCTTGGACCGGATGGATGCGTTATGCGGCCCTTTTTCGCCATCCTTTCAGATGCCATATTCCTGTTCTCGATCCTCGATCCTCGATTCTCCCATGAAAACCCTGGAATCGTGGCCAAGAAGTCGGCACCAGTTGGCCCCCATATCGGGGCACCCTCCTCGCTTGGAAGCAGGGTTCAATTTAGTAAAGGACGACGAAAACGAAAAAGAAGCCCAACGGAAGTGCCCTGTTCTCTTTGACACATGACGCGTGCACGCAGCCTCAACCGCGACTGCCGTGGTGGCGAGGTGAGGTCCAACAGGGTAGAGGACTAGGTAGAGGTCTCCAAGGCAGGATCCCTCCCCCGAACAGGAACAAGACCAAGACGCACGCGTAAAGACAGGAGGCGCGCGCGCGCACGCACGCACACACACTCACTTACTCACAAGACTATCACACACCATCACCGACCCTCTTCGGACGTCAACTCTTGATGCATGTTTCTCGATTATTGGAGGTACCGGCTTTGTGACCTCATCTCTTTTCCTCGTCCGGCTGGTACCCTCCTTTCCTCGCCAACCTAGCCATGCTGCCCACCCTTTTCTCTTCAAGCTCGAAGGTGGGTGTGGGGTGCCAAACCCATAGGAAGAAACGAGAGCCTATAGCCTGCCTATCGAAGAGTCAATAATAAAGAATAGTACAGACCGAACAGGGGAGGATTCTCGAGAGGAACCCTCCCTCCCCTCTCAACACTAAAGGTATATTTAATATATCGATAATAGGGGAGCCGGGATAAGACGAATCATGCAGAAAAGTTGGTATGAGAGAGGAGGGAGGGTAGTGTCCTTGAAATTTCATAGGACGTGGGCAGCGGGTGTGGGGAAAGGAGGTTGATGGTGGTGGGTGGTGGAGGGTAGGCGACTAATCGGGATGCCTCCCAGGTCCAGCTGATCCTCCCTCCTGCCTCGTTCCTTGCTGCCGGCCTTCCCTTTGCCTTACATATACCCTCCCCAAAGGGAAGAGGAGGTGGATGCAACGGTGGAAGGCGAATCAAGACACAGAAGGGGTGAGAGGGAGATAGGAAAGAGGGGCAAAAGAAAAAGAAAAAAGTGAAAGAAAAAGAAAAAGAAAAAGCAAGAGAAAGAGCCCGGTTGGATTCTGAGCTCCTAGCATCTCCTGTTTTCTTATTCCTTGCTTGCAGGTCCAACCTCTTCCCGTGCCACCCTTCCCTACGCCTCGTGCTGCCTTCGGAAGCGGGGTCAGCATTGGACGGAGGGGCTCATGGCTAGGGCTCCGGCGCTTATTCCATGGACCCATTGATGGGGATCTGTGTCCCTCACGTAGGTACCTGCGTAGTGATTGTTCCTCTGCCTATACAAGTCGTAAGAAAAGAGATGCGCCAAAAAAGAAAAAAAGGAACGCCTGTTCGAAATGAAGGGAGTGTGCGTGCGGGTATGCACCCTTCAGATCGGCAGGGTCGCTTTTTCAAGGGTGCACGCGGGATGCTGAGAGCAGGTATTGTCGTCATCGACAGTGATGAAAATGCCTTGGAAAACAGTCGCGTAGCATTTTGTTCGGATTCTTCCTCGGCGCTCTATTAATACACACACTATATAGTATTATCCATTCAAAGCGAAGCGATAGTATACAGGGTCGCTTTCACCGGGTGAGATGTGCGGCTCAAAGAAGAAGGCCGGTTCTCGACCCAAACATTTCCGTCAATCAACCGGTCAGGCATTGACGTCTGGGTTGTGGGAGATCTTGTTCTCGTGTCGCATTTTTGGTTCCTCCTTGAAGAGATTCCCGTTTCGTATCGTACAGTTTGCATCGCCGAACTTTGGATAAGTGTTTCCAAGTTTTGGTGCTTCTCCGTCCTCGTCCTTGGTGCCGGTTTGGTGAGCCGACTGGCTGGCAATCCTTCTCCCTTGCCCTCGCTTTTCCTTTTAGAATCATTAAGGGTAAGGGAACCTTGGTTTGGTGCTCATGGGTCTTTTGGTTTGCATGCGTCACCAAGGAGGCTCTTGAGCCAAGGTGCCACCACGTCGACCCGAGATGCTCCGAGACTACCGGCGGCGAGAAGGTGTTCCCAGCTCGGTAGTTCGAAAAAGGGTGTGTTTAGTAGAGAGTCTTTTGCCACATCGCCTGGCGACGTTGGCTTCCCGTCCACTCTTAGTTCTTGAATCATACCCTGGCGAACGTCAAGGTGCAGTTGTGTCTTGAGCGTGGAGTTTAGTTTAGTAGGTGGCGATGGCAAGTAGAGGTGTTTTGTGGCCAGACTTACATCGAATGGAAGCCCGACGCGCTGCCTAGGATCGTCGTCCGTAGGGGTAGTAGAAAGCACGAAGCGAGGCGTTTGTCCGTAGATCCAGTCCCGGGCCTGCGATTTTCTCGTTAGCCAGTGCAAAAGACTCAAAGACTCTCCTCCGGTCATAGGTGAGAAGGGGGGAGGTCGTCCTACCTTGAGTTCCTTTACGCCGTTGCTGACGTTTGAGATATCCAGGGCCTCGTCGCCGACGACAAGGTCGACGTCAAACTTTCCGTACATCTTTCCAAACTCGTCGCGCACGGCCTGCTCGAAAGCCTCGTTCTCGACCCCGACGTTCCTCACCTTGGAACGCACGCTTTCAACGCCCCTCGTCTTGATAAAGGGTTCTGCCGGGGAGCGCAGGTACTTCGAGATGCTGCCTAGGTTGGGCGATGAGAGGAGACAGGTGCCATGGTGTAGAGACCTCAGCCTCGTCAGCTTGTACGCTGACCCGGATACCTTGAACGTCGAAAGACCCTGCTGTTCGACGGGGCAGGCGCCGGTGCCCGCGCTTTCGGCGGCCCCAGCAGACCCCTTGGCATCAACGTCGACGACAATGTCATGTCGACAGTTCACCTTGGCCCCTGCGACGCCGAGGCGGCGGAGGGCCCGCACGACCATCTCGGCGTGCCTGTCGCGGTCAAACACGGCGGGAGGGCAGATGACGCTGTAGTTGACGTTACCCCGTCGTGGAAGACGGTGCCGCCGCCGGAGCGCCGGCGCACGAGTTCGATGCGCAGGGCATCTCCGTCGCCGGCTTCGCGCTGGGCCCTGAGCTGCTCGATCAGCGGCAGGTTCACCTCGACCCAGGGGTTCTGGTTACGGCCGATGACGATGCAGGGACGGTTGGTGTAGAGAAACAGGATGGTGGAATCCGCGGGACTGTTTTGGAGGAGGTGGTGCTCGATGGAGAGGTTAAGATAGGGATCGCGCGTGCGCGAGAGGTAGAGCTGGACCTTGTTGGCGGGATGTGACGTCGCGTCGCTGAATTGACGGCGCCATGCCGGGCGTGATGGGTGAGGTGAAGTAATGCGCCGAAGTGACGGCGCCCCTGGGAGAAAGCTTGGGGCGAGGCGCCGAGGGGAGCAAAAGGACCCCCTCATGCTGCGCGGGCGGTGATGGAAAGAACGGAAACGTGGACTCTCACGGTTTTCCCCTATATCATGACTTTGCAAGTGTTATAAATACATTATGTTGGTTGAAGATGTGATGCGGGAGCTAAGTCGCTAAGCTCCTGGCCGCGATGATGGTATTGAGCTTTTGCCCCGGGCGCTGCTGGGCTAGGAAATTGCGCAGCATTGAGCCCAAGCCACAGGCGGTAACTGAGGCTTCAAGCTCCCTAATTTGGTCCCCTTCGGTGGCGCACCAGCAGGGGACTGTCTCCAGTGCAAACTGCCCCGGCAGTGCTCTCTTCCATTGACCCCACCAACCAGAAGCGTGCTCTGCACTGCTGACCCACCTCGATCTTCAGTGGCGGGACTATTATCCTCAAGTGACACTCGACCCTATTCGATAACTTACCCCCGATTGGGAACCCTCTGGACCACACAGGCCAGCTCCAATCACGCATGCAATTGATCAAGTGCTACGAATTAATAGCTCCAACGCCAGAGCGATCTTTCGTGGCGGGGTACTGTAGCAGGTGTACCGGGGCCAGCCAAGCGTGAGAAGCTAGGTGCGCCAAGTACCCTCCAGACAAGGGAAAAATCATTCGATCGACTGCTGCCCTTTCCGATGTGATTGATCAACGGTTGGGACTGACTAAAGAAAAGTATTAGATGAGAAGGGAAAGGGATGGGGACCCGGGCCGCCCTATTTTCAACGAGCTACCTGCAAACAAACAGAGACGAGTAGAGAAAGAGAGAGAGAGAGAGAGAGACATGAGCGAGGAAAGAGCAACCCCCAACCCGAAGTCGGCCAACTTCGCAACGAAATTTTTCGAGATTGAATTCAAACCCTTTCTTTCCACTCTGACTCTACAAAAGTGACTCACCAAACTCCTGCGCTGAATTTGGGTCAGGCCGACCATTGGCGATATAGAATTATTTTATTGTAGCCGTGTCCCTTGGTCTTGCATATTTTTTTCTGTTCTTTTTCTCACTCTTGGTCCTAATTGACGCCCTCCGCAATCATGTCTACCTTTGGCACCGTCTTCCGAGTCACCACGTAAGTGCCCCGCGATGCTTCACCCTCCAAGGAACCGACCCCGCCACGCACCACGCGATCGCGATCGCGATCCTTGCTTGCTTGCCCTACCCACCTCGCCTACCCACCTCGCTACTCTATATATATCTAACGAATCCGCCTGGGTCCCATGTCTCTAGCTTCGGTGAATCCCACGGCAAGGCCGTCGGGTGCATCATCGACAACCCCCGCCGGGCATGTCCCTGACCGAAGAGGACATCCAGCCCCAGCTCAACCGTCGCCGCCCCGGCCAGAGCGCCATCACCACGCCCCGCGACGAAAAGGACCGCGTCACCATCCAGTCCGGCACCGAGTTCGGCAAGACCCTGGGCACCCCCATCAGCCTCGTCGTCATGAACGAGGACCAGCGCCCCAAGGACTACGGCAACAAGACCATGGACGTGTTCCCCGCCCCTCCCACGCCGACTTCACCTATCTCGAAAAGTACGGCATCAAGGCCTCGAGCGGCGGCGGCCGCAGCAGCGCCCGCGAAACCATTGCCCGCGTCGCCGCCGGCGCCGTCGCCGAAAAGTTCCTCCTCGAGAGCTACGGCGTCGAGATTGTCGCCTTCGTCAGCTCCGTCGGCCACGTTGAGCTCTACCCCGAGACCGCCGAGCACCCTTCCCGCAGCCTCAACCCCGCCTTCATGGGCCTCCTCGAGTCCATCACAAAGGAGCACGTCGACACCTTTCTCCCCGTGCGCTGCCCCGACAAGGAAGCCACCGACCAAATGACGGAACTCATCACCAACCTCCGCGATGCTAGCAATAGCACCGGCGGCACCGTCACCTGCGTCATCCGCAACGTCCCCTCGGGTCTCGGCGAGCCCGCTTTCGACAAGCTCGAGGCCCTCATCGGCCACGCCATGATGAGCATCCCCGCCGTCAAGGCCTTTGAGATTGGCTCCGGCTTCAGCGGCACCAAGATGCTCGGCTCTCAGCACAACGACCCCTTTGTCGCCGCCCCCGCCTCCTCCTCTGCCGCCGCTATTGGCGGCGCCATCCCCGCCCCAAACTCGCCACCAAGACCAACCACTCTGGCGGCATCCAGGGCGGCATCTCCAACGGCCAGCACATCTACTTTAGGGTCGGCTTCAAGCCCCCGCCACCATTGGCATCGACCAGACTACCGCCAACTACGAAGGCTCCACCGAAGGCGTTCTCGCCGCCAAGGGCAGGCACGATCCCTGCGTCGTCCCCAGGGCTGTCCCCATTGTCGAGGGCATGGCTGCGCTGGCCATCATGGATGCGCTCGCCATTCAGCAATCCAGGCATGCGCTAAGCGCCTTTAGGAGGTAGATCAAGTTAGGCAAGGGGGAGATGCGGCCGGGCGAGCAGGAGAAGGGGCAGAGGGCAAAGGCAGGACGATAGTGTGGAGGGGAGTTTTTATATGTGTGGGCAAAAGGCTTGTGTTTCAAACAAAAAATAGGATATCATTACGAAGAAATAGGATACGAGAAATAGAGTCACGAAGAACCTATTGATTCTTTCTAACACCACGCAGCATATGCCTACCTCACACCGATACAAAGGCGCCACACCGCTTCCTAAATGTTTGAATGGAAAACCTCGCTTTCCAAGATACAAAGTCACCGAGAGAATCCTCCGTTGAATCACTGCATTGACACATTCACCGAAAAAAGCGAGTTCTGGTTAAAGTTCCATCATCATCAAATCTATTCTCATTATCCTAACCTAACGCTCAAATGTGTATCAATCTCGCAACAGGCTCATTTCATAACGTCAAGAAGAAGAAAAAGAAGGCTAGAAACATAGCGCGCAAAGACAGCAAGGAAACAAGAAGGACAAAAAAAGAAAGGAGCAAAAGAAATGTAGAAAAACTCCCGACATGTGGTATATCCCGTTTTCAATTTCTCATACCCCTTCCTGCACAAAAGGTTTCAACAAGGCTAAAGAGACGGGCAAGAAAACAAAACGAGGAACCGCTGGCTCACTCGGTGTCGTGATTTCCAAGACACCGAGGAAAAAGAGACCACATGGCGTCGAGGATATATGCGCCGCCGTCCGGTCCTCACCACATCCTCTAGGCAACTTCGTCATCGCTTCTTTTAGAGTTCGTCATGCTGAGCCGAGTCAGCCCCAGCGGCAGCGTCCTCCAAGCTCGGTGACTCGCCCAAGCTATCAGTCGCAACAACACCGGGAGAAGGATCCCGGACCCCCGCCGCCTTGCCCAAAACCTCGTCCCCGCTCACAGGGTCCTCGACCACCGGGGGTTCCGCAGCAGCTTGCTCTTCAGGGACGGGGTCACGAGCAGAGGCAGTGTCTTCGAGCAGCTCGTCCTCGGGGAGACAATTCCTCAGGCGCAGCAGGCTCCTGCGCCACCTGAACCGTCTCGCGAACCATCTCCGTAGTAGTAGTGGTGGCCGTGACCTGAACCTTGACAGTTTCCACCTCGGTGACAGTCTCAACGATGCGCCGAATCTCCTTATCGAGCGGCGTCTCAGCGTCCTCCACAGGCTCGGGGCTTCAATCTCCGCCTTGGCCGCCGGCTTCTTCGCCTCCACCACCTGCACCTGCGGCGGGGCCTCGTATCGCGCGGCCTGCGGCTCCATCGCGGGGGCCGCGTGCATGGCGGGCACTTCCCGCACGCCCACGCCCGCCACGGGAAGTGGTTGTGCACCGAGTACCTGTCTGCGGACCCGCCGCCGCCGTTGTTGCTGCCCCGCAGAGCGAGCAGCATGGCGATGGCGCCGAGGAGCGTGATGACGAGGTTCTTGCGGTCCTGCAGGACGACCTTGGCGGCCTCGAGAATCAGCTCGGGAAGCGAGGCGGATTGGTACGTCTTGCGGCGTTCTTCCCGGCGCTCCTCCCGGCGCTCAAAGGCCTCTTGGGACGGGGAGGCCGGTGACGGACCCGGCATGTACGAGTCCTCGTGGCGGCGAGCGGCAGGGGAGGGGCTCGAGTCGCGGTGTTGCTGTTGCTGTTGGTGGTGCTGGTGCTGGTGTTGATGTTGATCGTGGTGCTCTTGGTGGTGGTGCTGGTGGTGGGGGAGTGTGGCCGTAAATCTCCCGCAGGCGCTCTTCCTCGCGTCGCCGGCGCTCCGCATCCATGTGGTGCGAGGCGCGGTGGGCGTCGGGCATCGGAGACGACGCTTCGTACGAGCGGGACTGCGAGCGTCCCATGGCGGGAGACTGGGTGCCGTCATCGTAACGCAGAGTAGACGGGCACGGCGAGCTCATCATGTGGGATTGGCGGTGGTGGAGCTCCGCCGAATGCGCCCTGTCCTCAATACGCAGGTTCGACCCCGAGGCACGGGCCGCCGATGACGGTGGCAGCGGCGGCGGCGAGCTCAGCATTCTCGTGGAGTCGAGGGGCTGGCCATGGATTGCCTTTGACCCAGCATGTCCAAGTCGCGGGAGGGTACCTCGGTCTCGAAATGCTGCTGATGCTGCTGCTGCCTGGCGGCCAGCGACGTGTGATGCTCCTGCATCCGCATATCGGGGTTAGGCGATGGCTCCACGGCGCGGGACTGTGGCCTGCTCACGAGCGAACGGCTCGGCTGCTCCATGCGCATGCTCGACGCCGGAGGTGAGCTGAGGATGCGAGAGTGGTCGTGATCGGCCATCATGCTGCTGTCAAATGGCTGGCCGAGCTCCGTGTCCTCCTCGTCCATCTCATCCATCTCCTCCGCCGCAATACGGGCCTCTTCCTCCTCTTCGGCTCTTCGATCCTGCTCGGTAGCCAAGTCGTTCAGCTCCCCTTGGAGGGAGGTGTCGACCAGGGGCTCAATCTCCACGTCGACCCGCTCCATCTCCTTCCAGCAGGCGCCCCAAGCACCGGCCTTCATGAGGCCGTTGCTCGCGTACACCTTGACGCGGAAGACCTTGCCGGGGCCGAGCGACTCGTACTTGATCTCGTGCTTGCAGGTATTGCACCAGTGGAACTTGTCATCCTCGTCGATGCGCGAAAGGCGGCGGTCGCTACCCCAGCCCTCATCCTCGCTCTCGGTCTCACTCTCAAAGGTCATAATGTTAGAGGGACCCAGGTAATGGCCGCATTCGAGGATGCGGGCTTTCCTCCGGAGAGGCAGCTCCAGCGCGTCGAGAACCCGCTCCTCGAGCAATTCAAAGTCATCTTGCGGGTGGGGAGGAGCACGCCTCGCTCGAGGACGGTGTCGCCCATCCTGTCGTGCAACTGGCGCCAAGATTCGCGTAGCGACTTGCTGGCCTCGCTCAGCTCGTGCGCCTCGGCGGTCTCGAGGACGTCGCCCCACGGCCACCGAAGCGGGAGGAGAGTGACGTGCAAAAGAACCAGCGGGGCTTCCTTTCGCTCCTTGAGCCTGGACGGCGTGGACCGTCCTTTGGGCGAGTATTGCGCCGAGACGTTGGGGCTCCCCAAGCGCGATATTGTGGGGTAGTGGCGCTTGCTGGACCGAGGCGATCCGTACGTGGAGCCCGGCGGCGACGACATTTGCATCGCGCGGACGGAGGAAGGGGTGCGGAAAGGTAGGCGGGGTGTGTTGCGCGCGGTTGGGACAAAATCTTCCTCGGTCCCATCGTAATGGGAGATGTTGGATATGCGGGGAGAGTGAGCCGCCCGAGACATGGCCTCTTCGAGAGAGAGCTTGCGGTCTGGGTCGCTCGATATGGACCCCATGGAGCTGCGAGGACTGCGGTCACTAAAGACGTCATCGTCGGCCTCATTATGGGAGCTACTATCGTTGCCCACATCGTCTGCCAACGGGGCAGGCACAGAGCTAGCATCGGAGATGCGGGGGCTCGCCTCATACTGCCGTAGATCGCAAAGTTCAGCGTCGTGCGCTTCCTCGGCGTCTTCATCCTCGTGCAAATCACTGTCGTGGCTGAGCATGGAGAAGTCTTCCTCACCGCCCAAGGAGTGTGTTTTGGAAGAGCCCCTCCTATTCTCGATGCGGGCCACCACGGCTCTAGCAGCTGCCTGAATCAAGGCATCCGTCCTGCCAGAGGTCCGCCTATAGCCGCCTGACATTGTGGACATCCTCCTGGATTCCGAATCCAAGGAATCCTCGTCATCTCCTTCTTGAGCATCGTCTTCCTCGGCCCCCAGGGCATCGTGGGAGACTCCAGACTCATTGTGGGTATCCTCCTCTTCTTCTTCTTCGTCATCAAAATCATTATTAGGGGTGTCGGTTTCATCATGGCCATCGTTCGTTGTGTCGGCGCTTTCTTCTTGATAATCCACCGAAGTGTTGGACTCGTCTGGAATCTCCGCCTCCGCCTCATGTAGAGAAGCATCCTCGGGGACCTCTTGCACCAAATCGTCTGTTTCTTCTTCCTCTGCAGGTGGAAGCTCGCTGGTATCCTGGGGTAGATCGGCAGGGTTACCCTCTTCAACTGCATCTTCTTCTACTTCTTCCCCCAACAGCTCTGCGGAGGGTTCTGGTATTAATTCCGCAGGTTCAGCAGCTGTTAGATCTTCTGTTGCGTTTTCACTCGCGGGCTCCTCAGCACCTTCGCTGACGGGCTCAACCTCCGCCAGAGGCTCGTTTGTGTCATGGCACTCGTCTTCTGCCGCCGGTTCGCTGGCAGCCCCGCTCACCAACTCTTCAGGGCCCTCTGGGATGATGTCGGCATCCAGATTAGATTCATCGGTAATACGGCTAACGTCTTCCGCCATGGCTTCGTCATCCCCACTCTCCGCGCCGAGGGAGACACGAATAGGCGTTACCTCTTGAGGCGGTACCTCGCTCTCGTCGTCGGCAGCAGAGTGGGTCGAGTTCTCATCCTCGTGGATGGTGAAGTCGTCGAAATCTTGTGTAACTCGGGTCATTTGTGTTTAGGTTTGTGTGCTCGGCAAGCAACGTTGACGAGATAGAGGGTGGTATTATAACCTTAAAAAAAAGGGTCTCGGAAACTTGGTCTCAAGGCTCGCTAGAGGTATAAAAAAAAAGAAGAGGTCGTGACAAAGATTAACAAGCGTCAAAATTACTGAAACATTGGGCTGTCATGGAAAGAAGAGGTGAGTGTTTTGGTCAGGCGGAGCGGGTCTCATTCAAGTTGGGTACGGAGTACCTCGTCGTCTTGAGATGAGCTCTCTCTCCCTGTGAGTGGTGATGATGAGCTTCCCGCCGTTTATTTACTTTTGGTCACCGGGGCAAAGGCGGCCACAGTGGGGACCACGGTGTGGTTGGGGACTGAGACACTGGCTCCTTGTTTGGGGCAAGTCCGTTGGCGGGCATGAGTCGAGGGCCACACCTACTTTGCCCCGCCACCTGAAAACCGCAGCCACCGTGTGGCTGGTGATGAGAGAGCTTGGTTTCGGAGAGCAACGCAAACTAACTATTGTTGCTATTAGCGCTGGCTTCGGAAATGGTTGTTCGGTAATGATAGACAGAGTTGGTCGGGACTTGGCGCCGAAGGGAAACTTGCCGAACATCCAGCGCAGAGTAGAGCAGCTTGCACTTGATGTTTTGCTGGATGAATTTGGAGATGGCAGGTCAAAACTTGCGACGTGAGGTCGAGTCTCTCTACAGGATTTATTATACTTGGAGGGTTCAAGATTTTCATTTGCTCATTGGAGGTGAACGAGGCATTCCAGCTCTTTGTTGTCCATTTACGTCACCTCTGCCCAAAAACAATGCATCGAATCGCCTCCCTCCCCTTGTTCTCTTGGCTCCGTCGTCTATGTTATGCTTGCCGGCTAAGACTACCCACGCTTAACGGGTATTCACTATGATCCCCGGCCACTGTCCAAGAATCTCATCGGCGCACGACACCCAAAAGCACCCGATCAAGGACTGTAATGTATGGAGAAACAGCTTTAGCCACACAAGACACATGCAAGCACTACTAGTCTCCAGCACCTGCCAAACCATGACCCTGAAACCTTTGAATTGCATCCGCTGCAAGAGCTGAATACCACTCTCTGCGCCATGTTGGAACTTCGGTCTCAGTTTCTCACGACGAGAATTGACCAGTTCTGCCGTATCTCGAGCTCCCGCCCCTGATCCTGATTACAAAGGTAGCTGGTACTTGAAAAACAGGTGGCTGTTCACCTTTGCCAAGGTAATAGTGACTCATGTATCGGCCCACCTCACGGTAAGTTCTGGCCAATGAGATGGCCCAGAACGGCACGGGTTGCTGCTCTCGCCCGTTAAAGCATTGAACACTTGCCAGCCAAGCCCGCCGTTTCCTTTCCTCTCCTCCGTGCGGCGCATTCTTGGGCTTGTTCATCTTTGGTCTCTTCTAGGATATTAGCATGTGTGTTTTTGGAGGTTGGTTATTGTTTCCACAGTGCTACTTCAATCGCAAGAGGAGATTCGTACAAGTATTATCGCGAAATCGAGAGGATTATGACGCTTCCATCCATCCGAGCGACAGAACCACCCTTTGTTGTGAGCTTCTAGACACCTTGAATGATATCAGCGAGCTCAAGCGGGATTAGTATTGAGCTTCTCTCGTTCATGGCATCTCAATTACCAAGCCACTGTCACACAATATTGTTTGGTTTGATAGCACCCAAGAAGCCGTGGTGGGCACAATCCACTCTCGCACCAGGCATAGTTCAAAATAGGACAAAGCGAAAGCCGTTTTTGCACAGTTTTTCTTTTCTCCGTCTAACCGCGGGCACAGTGTGTGTCCTCGGAAATTGGCGTAGCGGAGACTGGCAAGACTGGGACGCCACCCAGAAAAAAATCGAAAAATAAATCCCACCCCAAAAATCGGAGCAATCCGGAAACCGCAAGTTCGGCAGAGAGGTCAAGGAATTCAGGAAATTTCCCGCCGTTCAGCCGCGGAAAACACCTCATCGGCCAAAAATTTCCAATCGAGAACTAAACCATTGCCGACCAGACCCTCGAACCCGCATCTGCGACCATTCTCCTCTCAATCATTGTTTGTTCTTTCGTTCCGTTTCGACAAACTTGGGTTTTGTCGATATCGTCCAGTCTCTTCCTTTCTTCTGTTGTTTGATCAGTCCTTCCATCACAACAGTCAAAATGAGCGCCGTTAAGGAGGCTGCCCCTGCCCCCTCGGGCGTTGCCCTTTAGTATGGCCCTCCTCACCATCTCTCAAAGCCCCGGCCGAGCCGGAACTCGCCTTATCGTTTGAAGCCCATCGCTGACCATCTCCAAGCTCCAAGTTCGCCCTTGCTGGTGCCCTCTGCTGCTCCATCACCCACGGTGCCCTCACTCCCGTCGATGTGTAAGCACACCCCTTTCTTCCTCCCCTTCCCTCTTGACCTTGACCATGTTTGCCATTCGCGATTGCCTCGCGTATAAAGAGCGCGGGCGGATCCGATTGCAGAGCACCAACGAGGGGCCTCGGGGTTGCCAAGGCCCGACGACTCGTCTTTTCTTTGGCTTAGCGAACACCCTGCTTACACGCGTCATTTCTTCCAAACAGCGTCAAGACCCGTATCCAGCTCGACCCTGTTACCTATAACAAGGGCATGATCGGCGGTTTCCGCCAGGTCATCAAGAACGAGGGTGCCGCCGCTCTCCTTACCGGTGCCGGTCCTACCTTTGCCGGTTACTTCCTCCAGGGTGCCTTCAAGTTCGGTGGTTATGAGTTCTTCAAGAAGCAGCACATCGACTTCCTCGGAACCGAGACCGCTTCCAAGTACCGCACTGGTGTTTACCTTGCCTCTGCCGCCGCCGCCGAATTCATCGCTGATATCGCTCTGGTATGTTGACAGCTACGCCCCATGAAGAGAGAGAGAACGTGAACCAAGAGCTAACTTTGCTTCTCTAGTGCCCTCTTGAGGCTACCCGTATCCGTCTCGTCTCTGAACCCACCTATGCCAACGGTCTGATCGGCGGTTTCTCCAAGATGCTCAAGAACGAGGGTATCGGTGCTTTCTATGCTGGTTTCGGTCCCATTCTCTTCAAGCAGTACGTGATTTTGAGCCTCAGGCTCCAACCCAAGCCTATCATCTCGCGGCCGGCGTAGCCCGTCGTAGTGTGAATTCGATGCAGTATGAAGTGAAGCTAACCAGAGGAATCATAGGATCCCCTACACCATGACCAAGTTCGTCGTCTTCGAAAAGGTTTCCGAGTCCATCTTCCGCATCTGGCCCAAACAGGAAATGTCCGATGGCCTCCAGACTGCTGCTAACCTCGGTTCCGGTTTGATTGCTGGTTTCGCCTCTGCCATTGTTTCTCAGCCCGCCGACACCATGCTCTCCAAGATCAACAAGACCAAGGGCCTTCCCGGTGAGGGCACCACCGCCCGCCTGATCAAGATCAGCAAGGAGCTCGGTGTTTCTGGTTCTTTCGCCGGTCTCCCCGCTCGTCTCTTCATGGTCGGTACCCTCACTGCCTTCCAGTTCGCCATCTACGGTGACTTGAAGAAGGCCCTCGGCGCCACCGGTGGTGTCGAGATCGCCAAATAAGCGTCTCGTCGTTGATGAAGCGAGAAAGAATCAGGGGACGGATGGGGATGGGGTAGTGTGGAAGAGGCGCGCTTTTCTTTTTCTCTCCAGCGTGTCCTTCCAAGCATTTACAAATGGTGTGCATGCTAGACTTTTAAACCAAAAAGGAGGTGTGTTTCTGGGTGGTTTGCCCCCTTTCATCTAGAACGGGTTAATCGTTAGGGAGGGGTTGGGTACGGACTTGCGTTTCTAAAAACATCTTTGCTCTATGGTCTGTAACTTATCCTTGTCTTTTGAACTTTTTTCTTTTTTCCTCTTTTCTTTTTTCCATCTCTCTCTCTCTCTCTCTCGACGACCGATGGAGGGTATTCGGCAGTGTATCAACCGGCCGAAGCCCTCGCACTGCTGTCATTTTCCGTGATGGAACATGGGAACATACTTGTGCTGGGAAGAACGGCTTTCTGGTGGCCCTTGTAACAGTAGTTCAGTGTCCTAATCATAGACCGGAGTTGGCTGCAATCTCGATCATTTCTTCGTCGTCTCTCGCTGCTCGTTTAGAGATGCGTAGTGTATATTCCCGCCGGGGAGAGTGACGGGGGATAGAATGTCCAAGTCTCTTGGGCAGGGATTTGAGTGATTATGTAGTAGATTAGCTGGCCCACGAGGAATCGTAATGAGACAGACAACCAACAGATGAATAGGACTGACTGCGAGGGGTGAGGTGGATGGATCAGATGCATCATGATCAGTTCAGTTCAGTTTACGACGTGTGGTTCCAGTTCCCACAAAGACGACAGTGTGTGTTCTATGTGCACTGTGTGTACAAACCCCGCCACCCGAACCAAGCCATTTGTTGTTGGACTGGTTGGAGTCTGTCTGCCTGCCAATCGGGAAGAATGACGGTGCATGAGGAGCTCCAGGGCAAAGCAACCTTGAACCTCTTCGTTTACGACAGTAGCTTTGGTGTCCCCTTTCCGCCTGCCAGAGACAACTGGCGGTCGTTTGAGGTTTCTGACCGATACATGACTGCACCTCGAAACCACAAACCATGGCGATATCGGTATGGAGAATCCTCCCTGCTGCGCACCTCTCCTCTCTTTTGAAGGGGGACCTTGCTAATCTCTGATTTGCCTCGTGCCTTTAGTGGAAGTCGTTTGACTTCTTTGACGTCACCCAGGTCCGGCTCGCCGACGACGAAACACGACAAGCCTTTGAGAGCAATGAGATATCGTGCGTGACCTCGGGGTCGGAGAGCGTCTTCCTCGGTTCCTACGACGGCTACGTCCGCATCGTCAACAATAATTGGAAGGTCGTCCAGAGCTTCCAGGCCCACGATGTCGGCGCCATTACCAACATGCGCCAGGTCGAGGGAACGAGCCTCCTGGTGACTGTAGCTGTACGAATGATTTTTTTCCCCGCCTCCTGAACCGAGGCCGTTCCGGACGCATCGGAATATGACCTAGAGTAAAGGCTGACTTGTTTCTTGGGGCCGTGTTGCCGGTTGGCGCGTATACAGGAGGATCTAAGCAGCCCACCGTCGCTCAAAGTCTGGGCGCTGGACAAGCTCGTGAAGAAGACGAACATGCCGACATGTTTAACCACCCTCGCCATCAATAACGGGAAGCAACAGTTTCCGGTATGGACTCTCCACTCCATTTTTTTTTTTGGATTCCCTTCCTTTCCCTTGCACGTCACCTCACAGCCTAGCTTACAATGCAAATCCTCTTCTAGATCTCCGCATTTGCTGCCATCCACGACCTTACGCAGATCGCAGTCGGGTTTGCCAACGGTTCGGTCATCGTGATACGGGGAGACTTGGTCAACAACATGGAAGCGAAGCAGCGGGCGGTATACGAATCCGAGGAACCCATCACCGGCATAGAGCTCTCGTACTCGACCGAATCGAAAGAGACGACCCTCTTCATCGCGACGACGAGCCGCATCATGCGCGTGATAGTGTCGAGAAGGGGCCAGGGCTCGCCACCCAAGACCGTGGAAGAGATGGGCTGCGGTGTGGGTTGCATGACCACGGACAGGAACAGCGGCGAGATCGTGGTGGCGAGAGAGGACGCCATCTACTACTACACGATGGACGGGCGCGGCCCGCCGCGGGCGTACGAGTCGCCCAAGAGCCAGGTCGCCGTGTACGGCGATTACGTGGCCCTCGTGTGCCCCCGCGGACCAATCGTCTAGCCAAGAGCCCGACACGATCCGGCGGCGCTTCGGCGGCGCGGCCGACGCGCTGCTCAATGCGTCGACGTTTATCCTGCTGGAGCCGGAGCTCCGCATCATTGCGCACAGCGAGTCTCTGATCTCGAGCGTCAAGGCGGTGTTTGAGACGTGGGGTGACCTTTTGTGATGACGCAAGATGGAAAGGTACGTTTACGGTGCTACTGTGCTCTTCTCGAAGGGAAATTTGGGGCAAAAGCAGGCAGGATATGGGACAAGCTGACTTTTACCACCACAGGTCAACCGATATCATCAGAGGAGTCTGCAGCAGAGACTCGAGATGTTGTATCAGAGAAACATGTTTCCGCTGGCTCTCGAGCTCGCGCAAAGCGCGGGAATGGACAGCAAACAGCAGAGCACCATCTACAAGCGATTTGGGGATCATCTGTACCAGAAAGGGGACTATGATGCAGCCATGGTCCAGTACATTCGTGCGATTGATACCACGGAACCCTCGCAAGTTATCCGCAAGGTATGTAGATCTTTTTTTTTCGTTTTCAACCGCTTTTTCCTTCCCCCTCGGTGCTCGGACATAGCCAGCTGACGCAATCTTCTTCTTCTTCTTCTTTCTCCCCGCCTAGTTTCTCGATACCCAACGCATCCATAACCTCATTCAGTACCTCGAGCAACTCCATGAGCATCGGAAGGCGACTTCAGATCACACCACGCTGCTGCTCAACTGCTATGCGAAGCTCAAGGACATTGAGAAACTCGAGGCCTTTATCAAGTCACCGGGCGACCTCAAGTTTGACCTTGACACGGCCATCTCCATGTGCCGGCAGGGCGGGTACTATGAGCAGGCAGCCTACCTCGCGAAACAGCACGGGAGATTGATCTCGTGGTTGATATCTTGGTCGAGGATTCCAAGAATTACGACGAGGCCCTGAATTTTATCTGGCAGCAGGACCCAGAGACGGTAAGTGAATTCCCCAAGACACACATACACACAAGAAAGAGGTTTACATGGCACTTTCCAATTAATCAAACTAACACACTCTTCAGGCGTATTCGTGTCTTATGAAGTATGCGAGAGTCCTCATCGAACACTGCCCACAAGACGCTACGCAGCTTTTTGTAGATTACTATACGGGAAAGTTTAGGCCAAAGCCAAAGGTTATCATGGACCTACCCCTAGATGACACCGAAGCAGCTGCGGCTGCTGCTGCTGCTCAGGGAGGCCTCGCGATGGGCGCGGCCAATGCGATGCAGAACTTTGCTGGCTTGATTGCCCTTCCATACCGAGGGGTTGGCGCGAACGCTGCGGCAGCGGCGGGCGAAGCCAACGGCAACGGGACAGCTGCGGCCGCGGTAGAGGAGGGGCCTGCCCCAGAGTACACTGCTCCGGCGCCCAGAACGGCATTTTCATCTTTTATTGACCATCCAGACGAGTTCATCATATTCCTCGAGTCATGCCTCGAGCCACCGGGCTTGAGCAAGTCGGACAAGACGGATTTGTACACGACGCTGTTTGAAATGTACCTACACAAGGCGAGCGAGAAGAAGGGAGAGCATCGCGAAGAGTGGGAGGCGAAGGCCAAGAAGCTCATCGCGGGGTCGGACATACCTATGGAGAGCTCAAGCGTACTCCTTCTTTCGGACCTATCGGGTTTCAAGGATGGGACGATCTTAGTCAAGGAGCAGGCGGGCCTCCTTTTTGACATTTTCCGGTCCTATACGTCGGCCAAAGACACGCGCGGAGCGATGAAGGCGCTGAGAAAGTACGGGCCTGAGGAACCGCAGCTGTATCCGGCAGCGCTCGCGTACCTGACGTCACAGCCGCAGATCTTGGACGAGGCCGGACCAGACGAGCTGGCGGGTGTGCTTGACAAGATCGACAAGGACGGGCTGATGGCGCCGCTGCAGGTGATCCAGACGATGATGGGACAGGGAGGTGGAGATGGGGTGGCGACGATGGGGATGATCAAGCCGTACCTGCACGACATCATTGAGCGGGAGCGACGGGAGATTGCGTCGAACCGGCGGCGGATCGCGGCGTTCCGGACGGAGACGGAGCAGAAGCGAGGGGAGCTAACGGAGATTAGCACGCGGCCGGCCGTGTTCCAGGCGACGCGGTGCTCGGACTGCGGGCAGTCGCTGGAGCTGCCGGTGGTGCACTTTTGTGCAAGCACAGCTTCCACCAGCGGTGCCTGCGCGGGGGCGGGGCGGGTCCGGAGGCGGAGTGTCCGCTGTGCGCCAAGGACAATGCAACGATACGGGCGCTGCGCAAGAGCCAGGCGGAGAACGCGGACAAGCACGGCTTGTTCAAGAATGAGCTGGAGAGGAGCGAGGATCGGTTCGCGACGGTGGCGGATTGGTTTGGGAGGGGGTGATGGATGTGCCGAACGTAGAGTAGAGGGCGGGAAGGGGGAAGCTTGTTGGACAAGATGGGTTGGCACGTCATGTTGAAAGGGAGAGGAAGGAAATGGTGGTTGTGTACGTGTGGCGTCTGTGTCTGTATCGGTCGGGGCTTTAGGCCATTCAGATGATCTTTGTTGAATAATACCCCCTTTTCAAAAGGAAGTAAAAGAAGATGGAAAAGGAACAATAGGGGATAGTGAAAAGGTGTGATACGACAAGCTTTGACAAGATCGTCGGGTAGTCAGTTAGTTGATCCTCGTGGTAACTGGACTGGAACTGGAGATCGATTCTCTGGATATTATTAATTTCTATCTTCTCTCTCTGATGTTTCTTTAAGTCTTCCTTCGCTGGATGTAGTACTGAAGTATTTTGTTATGGATGTTGGAAGAGAGTAAATAGTATATTACCATTTATTCGCTGTCTTCACAATTGTAGCGTAGCACAATAATTCAAGATGAACATGATTTGACAGCCTCGATGATGAGATGGGTCCTCGATTGATCATTGGAACGGCAAGCACTTCATCGGCTTTGATCTTTTAGTGTCAACCTAATCCAAGCCTGTTGGGCACTTTACCTCGCAGCGGACCTGGAAGCTTATCCATTGTGAATACGAAAAATGCAGCGGAGATCGATCCCTCTGTCATGAAGGGCATTGAAAAAAGGACAACGCCCAACTCTGCACCTCCTGAACAATTCCAAGACTGAGCAAGCAACTTCATACTCGTGCCCACAAAGGAATTAGCCACCTCTTCCCCGCCTAGGCGCTTCCCAGCGACCAAGAGGAAAAGCATCAAGATCGAAAACCCCCTCTCCAAAAATGACGTTGGCCCTCGCAGCCTCGCCGACGTCTCGGGCGAAACTGGTCGACTTCTTCGCCAAGGCGCTCATCGCCTTTCAAAACTCCCAGGATAGCTTCCGGGTCGTTTGTTCCCTGCCTAGCCGGCAGACGGTAGGTGTCGCCAACCCGACTCCTTTGCAGGGTGCTACAAGCAAGGACTCTATGGTAACGACCACGTCGACAACTACGGCCCCAACTACGGACAAAGTAGTTACGGATGCTTCGACCGGGGCAACCGCCGCGCTGGCGCCGTCGCTGGCCAAACCCAGCAGGCCCGTCGGACGCCTCGTGGTGCTAGACTCCTCCTTTAACCCCCACGCTCGCGCACATGGGCATGGCGGTATCGGCGGCGTCGGCGTACAGTGACGGGACGCCCGCGGCGAACGGGTCGGCGGACACGCGGATCCTGCTGCTCCTGTCGGTCAAGAACGCGGACAAGGCAGCGACACCGGCGAGTTTCCCACAGAGGTTGGCCATGATGTATGTGTTGGCCGGGGAGCTCCTCGCTGTCGTCGGCGGCAGTGGCAGCGGCAGCGGCGCGGGAGAGGGGAGTGAGGGTGGAGAGGAAAGAGGAGGAAGGGGAGGAAGAGTCACGGGCGTGGATGTGGGCCTCTGCACGCTGCCGTACTTCCACGACAAGTGCGCGGCCATTGGGCAGGATGACTTTTACTACGGGGCGGCGAGCGCGGGAAACAACGGCGGCAAAGGGCCGGAGCAGATCTATCTGGCGGGCTACGATACGCTAATCCGCATCTTCAACCCTAAGTACTACGGCGAGGAGGAAAAGACGAGAAGAACCAGGACGGCTCCGGCAGCGCGACGACGACTACGGCGGCGACGGCCAGAAGATTGCCTCGTCGATGCAAGCGGCGCTGGGGCCCTTTTTCGACGAGGCGCGGCTGCGCATCACGCTCCGAGAGGGCGGGGGCTACGGGGCCATTGCGGAGCAGAGAGCCTACCTGGACGGCCTGGCCGGAGGAGGGCTCGAGGCGGTCGGGGGCCTTGGGGAGTGGGCCGGGCGTCTGGAAGCGGTGGAGGGGGAGGGCACGCCGGGGAGGAAGAGGCCGTTGCCGCCGGGGCGGTGGGGCGGTCGGTGAGCAGCACGCTGGTGAGGGAAGAGATACGGAACGGGAACGAGGAGGGTTTGGATGGGCTCCTGAGCGGGGGTCAAGGAGTGGGTGCTCGGCGAGGGATTGTACAGGGATTGATGAGGGCGGGCCAAAGGGGCCAAGCGAGATTGAAGGCGTCGGAATCGAAGAAGGGAAGGCTTGTGATGGTGGAGACGAGGATCCGTCCGAGAGCAATTGTGCTGTCATACTTGGGAGCGGGTCGATGGAGGATGTACTTGTAGATATCAGGGGTTGGGTCACAGTGCTCGTGCTCCTAGAGACAGAGTGGAGTTCCATATCATATTTCTTCCTTTAGATGATGCGCCTGGACCTCGAGAGCTCACTCAGATGAGAAACGAGAGAGAGAGAGGGAGAAACATCTAGGTCAAGAGAGAGAGGAAAGAGATGAGGCTCGACGAGTTGGTCCATTCCCGTCAGTCAAGCTCACGCTGACCTGACCTGACCTCGGGCGTTCTTATTAGGCTACCGTGATGTATTATCTCGGTCTCGGATCTGGTTTCTTGTCTTGTTCTAGCCAGCCATGGACGGAAGGAATGCCCGGACTCGTTTGCTCATGTGGGACTGCTTAGAGTCCCTAGTCCAAAGGACCGAGACGATCCATGAAAATTCTCTTGACCGCCCTCCCACTCTCCTTGTAGAAATATAGCAAAAACCATCTTGCCCACTCAAACGTGGAGCCCGAAACCAGGGTAGCTTGGGGAGCAAAGGGTCTTTTACGAAACTCGGCGTTTTGGCGCAGGCCGGAGTGGAGGTTCGGCGGGCCAAACGATACAAACTACTCAAACCCAGCCGCGCCATGAATAATGAATAACCCTTGACCCGTCTCCACGTCTGACTAGGGAACCAAGGGGCCCATGGCAGAAGAGAAATTTTTCTATTATTTTTCCCCCATGGATCCATCTCGCAAGGGGGATCGCTGGACCAGTGGAGTCGGAGTAGTTTTTCATCTTGGTGCAAACGAGTGGATGCGGGAAGAAAAAAATTGGTTCGTCTGCTCCCTTGCTTCTGCGCGGCAGAATCTTGGTACCTGCCCCACGTACCCATGTCCGGCAAGAAAAAAATTCAATGGGCGGTGAGACGAGGGCGGTGAGCTGTGTGCCAATCAGCCCCGTTTCGGGTATAAATACAGTCGATTCCTCTCGCCTTTGATCATTTTTTTCTTTTCTCTTCATGTCGACTTTACTTCAGTAAGCCACCCCTACCTTGCTCTCCCATCCACACACACACACACACGCTTGCAATAGAAGGACAGCGAGAGAAGAACAGCCCAGCCGGCTTTGAGTGAAGAGTGCAACAGGAAAATAGTTGCACTTGACACACACAAAGCCTGGCAAAAGCTCGTTTTTGTCTCCCATGTTCTTCTCTATCCGCCTCGTGCTCGTGTGCTTTGGATCATCATGCTCAATTTCCCACTCGCAACGGCCGCTAACAACCCTGTGCAGGAGAATCATTTCTATAGTTGTCGACCTTTTCTTGGTTTCCCAAAGAAGCCACAGATCCCACCCTGGTTGATGAACCGATACCTCGGCACCTTAGAGTGAAGAAAGATGGATTTGCGTCCATTGTGGCTCCCGCACTGTCTGCAAAGATGGCGGCCTTGTTTCCCCTTTCGAGAGGATCTTGGCTGTACTAGGGAGTGGTGATGATCTCGTCCCCGTTTCTCGGTCTGCCTCTGGCGCGAGGGCGGGGTAGGTGTTGGGGTAGTCTGACAGGCCTACTTTTTTCTTTTTTCATTGCCGCTTGGGCTGGTCCCAGGCTTCAAAGAAGAAGCGAGCGTTGATTTTGTCATGGTACATTGAGGTATCGAAGTGTAGTATGCTGTTTGGCTAGGTGTGGGCGTCCTAGATTGGGTGCAAAGAATTTAGAACTGGGAGCTTGCTCGAGACTATTTACCTGTCGTCCAGAAACGGGGTGCCTTTGCTGCCTTGCGTTCAGCCATCCCAGAGCCGTCTCCCGTCTATCTGCGGGTTTACCCACATCAACTCAAGACTCCATGTCCCTGAGAAGAATAATTCAAACATGTAAATATGAAATATGAAAATATGAAAAATATATTAAACCCAAATGCCATGTTGCCAATGAGAAACGGGAGGAAAAAAGAATGAAAGATCCCGAGCTATGTCAGTCTCGTAAAATGCATCTCGAATGGTGCCCATATCCGTTGCCAACATAAGGAAAAAAAGCAAGAGAGCCCAAACATATCCTCTAATCTACAATAGAGAGGCGATGGGGTACAACAACAATGTTGTTGTTGCCTTCCCCTTCGCCGAGGTAGCCTTTCATCTCTCTCCCATCTCCTCCATTAATCGCAAGTTCAAATTCTCTTCCCCATGTACTCAACCCTCAAGCTTCAATTCCTCAACTTTCCGACCCGATACCGAAAACTATATATTAATCGTAGCCGCGTGCGTCTAATACGCCACTCCGCTCCTCTTTCTTCCAATCGTCTTGTAGCTCACGTATTCCCCGTTCGTGCCGAGCGTGTCAAACCGGCTCATCCCCATCGTCTGCACGCTTGTGAATCCACTGTACCAGAATCCCACCACCACAATCACGTAGCTCAGCAGCAGGATGCTGCCCTTGAAGTAGTTGCTCTTGCCTTCGCCGTACATGTAGCTCAGCAGGAACACGCAGATGATGGTCGTCACCATGTCCCATTGCGGGAAGAGCAGTGTAAAGAGGTAGTGTGCCAAGTCATCTCCCGCGAGGAGGTCCATGGGCGGCCAGAGTGCCGAGTAGAAGACGAGTGCCGGAATCTGGAGCATGCATACTTGCAGCGCGTATGCCGATCCGATTTCCATCGAGAGTGCGATATTTCCGTTCATGGCAAAGGAAATGGCATTCTACACGAGCGGCCATCCAGTTAGCAAGGAACAAAAAGAGGCAAAGGGGATGGATGCCAGAATGCAGAATGAGGTGAACTGGAAGGGGAAAAAAAAATTTGGTACGTACCAAAAACTCCGTCGTGTTGGGGACCAGCGCAAACAGAGTGATTCCCAAAAACTTTTCATCAACCGCAAACCCTTCTAGAACCACGTCAACCGTGTCCACGAGAATTTCCGCAATGATGGCGTAAAACACCGTAGCTCCGAGCAAGATGACTGCACTCTTTGTCCGTCCCCAGTTGGGCGCATCGTGGCCCCCGCCCCCACCAGCCCCTCCATGATCCACACCGACTGCCAGCTCCGGCGGGCCATCCGGCTCCGGGAAAGTAGAGAGCCGTGGTCCCGCCGCATTCGCAGATCCGACCTTGGACCCCTCGGTTGTGCCTCCTATACGGACGGTTCCCGTCCCTCGCCTCGTGTGCCGAGAATCCCGGGCCGCGAACACCGCCGCCGTCGCAGCCACTTCGGCTACCTGTCGCACTAGGTTCTGGTTTTCCGCCTCCGAGAATCCGGGGATGTGGACGCGCGTGTGATGGTGCTGGTGCTGGTGCTGGTGGCCGTCGTCCCCGCCCGTCTTGGGCGGCACAACGTGCGGCGTGCTAACCGCACCACTCGCCATCGCCGTCGAGGAGCCGCCCGTGGCAGATGAGCCCTGCCGAGTGAAATCATCTTGACGAGGCGAAAGTCCCACCTGCTTCAGCGACTGCCCGAGAATTCTCTGATACAAGTGCGAATCACGAATGTCCGTACCCGTCGTTTCCGCAAAGGAATGGGGGACCGACTGTCGGAGAGATGCAGCGTGCGTAGCAGCCGCCGCTGCTGCCGCCGCCGCCGCCTCCTCGTGCTGCTTCTTCTCGTCCAATTCCGAGTTCCAAATCACCGCCGCGTGCGTACGGAGCGTGAACCAGAGTCCCACCAGGTACATGAGGAAGAGAGCTCCCGCCGCGAGGTAGCAGTACGGCCGCACCGCTTCGATATAAAATCTATCGTCGAGCGCCGGTACCTCGGAGAAGAAGCATCGGCGGCAATCTCGAGACCCATCCATGCCCGAGTCTCCCGTCTCGATGCAGTCGGTGCAGTTGAGCTCGTGCGTGCCGTAAATCTGGTAAAAAGCGTGGGCCCGAACGCGCTCAGCACAGCAAACAGCAACATGGCCGATGTCACGCCCGCAGACTTGGCGTTGAACCTCTGCGTCTTACGCTTGATGGCCCCAAAGCACATGGACAGACCCGGGAGGAAGAGGATACCCGCAAATATGCTGCCCACGATACTGCCCTCCACGAGCCGGCCCTTGCCCTGGTTGAGCGCGATGCAATAAAGATACACTTCGACGACGGTCGAGAAGAAGGCGTTGATGGCGGCGCCCAAGCCCATCGACGACTGCGCCGAGATCGAGGCTACTGCCTGGCCGATAAAGTAGGCCAGCGGAATGATGGAAAGCAGGCCTGCTGGGAAGAGGAACGCGGATGATGTGATGAACGAATCCAAGTGGAATACCCCGTGGAGCACGTACCAATCCACAATGACGAAAACCACCACCGCCATGAGGTTGATGAGGATAATGTTGGTTCCATCCACCGTGTACTTCCAGTAGCGCGGACCCACTGAACGGTACGTGCAGAGAAGGATGGACGATCGCGGGGCTTCCGCGGCAACGAATCCGGATTCGAACGATAGGGCCAAGGGGTGTCGGCGCAAGTGACTAAAGAGGAGGGCCGTGACCTTGCCCATAGGGATCCAGTACACGAGCAACCAGCAGATGAGGGAGACAAGGAGAAGCGCCGGCGCGATGAAGAAATAAAAGCAGATAAAGAAGATGACCCTCCCTACGTTCCACTCTCCTCGGCCAAAAGTCGTCGCTTCATCCGAGGTGTGTCGTCGTTGGCGTCGGTACGCTCAATGGTTCGAGAGTGTCCAAGGAGGCTGTCCGTCTCGCTCAGACTCGAGTCGATGCTCCTCCTCGACCGACCCACGATGGAACGGTTCGGTTCTGGACCAAAGAATAGGCGTCCGTATTCCAGGTCGCCGTTTTGCCACTGCTCGTACTCGAAAATGCTTCGGCCTTCGCCACGGTCTTCGTGGAGATAGGCTTCGTCCTTCTCTAAGCGCACCACTTTGCCAAAGGGGAAGAACAGGTAGCCTGCAAGTCCCCACAGCACGCGGCCATAGGGCCGCGACCCCGGAGCGGCCACGAGGAAGAAGCACGCCATGGCCCCAATGGCGGCCAGTAGCGCCAGCCACCAGCCGAAAAAGAGTGTCCAGGCGAGGTTGAACAGGCGGACCCAGGCGCCGCCAATTTGCCCGGGGGTGGAGTGGATGTCTCCTTCGGCCGTCTTCTGCACCGAACGGTTCTTCTTGTACAGGGCGGGCTTCCAGAGCCTGATACCGAATGGATGGGTTTCGTTGATGGCCTCCTGGCGATCCTTGAGCGTAAAGCTCTCGGCGTCGCTGATATCGCCGTCAGAATCGCAATCAAGGTGTTCCTCTAGTTGAAGGTCGCTGTGGTGTATCGATTCTTCCACGGGCTGTACCTCCTCGGGTACCTCTTCCTGCTCATCGTCGCTCTCGTCTTCCGCCATCCTAAGAGATTGTGATTGCCCCCGGGGTAATGAAGGGCGAGCGACACTCCGTCGACGCGTACCGTATCCTTGCTGTGAGTGCTCGCGCTGCTGCTCAGCGTCCGCTTCCACCTCCGTGACATCATCGTCCACCGAATAGACGCCCCCTCGATAGGGAGTCATCGGGTTTACCGAAGGTCGGCGGGGATCGCAGGTTTCCTAGCTCGAGGTCCCCGTTGTCTTTCGGTACCCCCAGATCGGTCGGCGGCGACTACTTGCGCGTATGTAGGCTCTCTCGATGATGAGGGCGTCGTCTCTGGGTTGATCAGGGGCTTCTTATCGGAGTAGCAGAGCTCGGAATAGTTCCTAAAGGGAGACGGAAAAGCCGACCAGGCAGTCGTCTATCAGTTGACGTGTTCCCCTTTTTATGATATGCCAAGTTTTAGCTTCAAGGGGAAAGAAAAGTGTACTAACCGTAACCACTGGAGTCTGGATGTCTTCGAACGGTGTCTGTAGATTGGTAGCTCGCCGACAAGACGTCGTCCAGAGCGGGAGAAGGTAAAGGGCTGTGGGGGATGGGAGAGGATGGCCTCTCCCTTGAGGGCTGTCGGGAAGATCCCATGGCGATGTTCCCAACCGCCGCAGCTCAGTGTTGTATCGAGCAAAGAAATTTGGGGCCCCCAACGAATGATGTGGGCTCTTTCGCGTGCTTTAATTGTAAAAGCGCAAAGAGACGAAGACGAGACGAGAAAAACGGGACACCGGGAAACGGCGAGGTATGTTTATTGAGTTGGGCGCCGCATCCGCAGGTTATGCCCCCGTATCTGACGCGGGACGGCAAGGACGGCGAGATTGATGTGGAGCGGAGGTCGAGGTGGTATTTGAACAAACAAAAACAAACCACGGATCTCGATAGCTCTCGAGCTTTCCTCCCTTTTAACAGATAGGCAGGAGAGAAAATAGGTGGGAAAGAAGCAGCAGAGAAGAAGAAGAAGAAAAGACTGGGGGTAGAAACGATGAAGAAAAAGGGAGAATAGAGAACCCACTTCGCTGTGCGAGGGGAGCTGTCAGGCGCGACGATGCATCTGACGAAGAATGCGGGAAGGAAAGCACGCTGTTGCTAGACAGGAAGGAAGTGAGGAGATAATACAATTAATCGACGTTCCCACTTGCGGGAGGGCAGGGTAGCGTCCAGGGCTGCTAGTGTCGTGTACAAAGCGACAACTGTAACTAGAGCTAACAAGTCGCCTGGCGACTATCAATATGCGAGAATGGATCCATCAAGGATGTACTTTGTACGAGCTCAGCACAGCGCGGCAAGCGGGAAAATGAGCCATGGTGGAGGTCACAAGCAAAAGGCGGATACCCTGGAATAATCCTCGGCAAGCAAAACGCAATCAATCCAATCTGCCTGTCGAGCAACCGTTAATATCTAGTGTAGTGTACGGAGTGGCATCAGCTACAAGTATTTGATGTCTCGCGTCTCCCTGCCTGATGGCGTATCGAGACCCGTGATCCCCGCGTCGTGAGAACGAACCTTGGCAGCCTCGCACAGATGATCCCCTCTCCCACCGCTTCCGCGAGTTGTGCATGCTACGTTAGCCCTCCGCAGCCATATCTTGCACGCTACGAACACCTCCGATTTCTTATCTTGGGGTTGGTCTTGCGCCGATTGCTGCTCGTGCGGAGAGCTGTCGAAGCCACTGGAGAGCTACGATGGCCAGACTGATGCCATCGCCCGTGACAGTTGTCGAATCAGGGGCTCGAGATTGGCCCTGCTGACTCGAATGCGGGCTAGTGCGAGCGGGGCCTTTTTTGTCTTTCAGGGTGGCGCCTGCAGAACAGTGGAGAGTATAATACAAATGGATGGATCTTTGCTAACATCGCCTGGCCTGGCCCATCTTCAAGACGATCCAATGTACCCATAATAATAGCCAGCTGCCCTCGATGCGATGAGTGAGGTCCAGACTGAACTCACTGTACATCCTTGACATCGTACGTCGTACTTCGTACTTGGTAATATGGAAAACGTTGCAGAGCTTATATGTTTCTGCACATCAATTCGCAATTACAAGGCTGCCGACAGGAATCAATCTTGCCCCCACGCGGGAGACTTAAGCAGCGAAATATGAAATACCTCAGGTGGCGAGTGTGTTCATCGGGCCGTTCAGGTATCCTCTCGATCTATTTCAAGAGAGCGGAAGTGGACATCTGCCTGTAGCTTCAGGACTCGTGCAATGTTACTTGGCCACTGACTTCTGCGGTGTGCTATGATCACTCAACTCGAAGGGAAATCTAAGCGGTCAACGGCCATAGAATGCGGCAAAACAAACATCATCATACATTTGGTGTATGCGCAGGCAAAATCCTCTCGATTTTTTTTTTTTTACCTTGACCGTCACTGAGTATTCATAGGATTGGCTGGTGGTAGAAGAGTCTGGTGTGTTTCTCCCACTCAAGTTTGCTTGAGCATGGGCCATTTGGGCGTGCCAAGAGAAAGGGAGCTCAGGAGCTGTGAGTATTCTCACAATTGGAACGGAGGCCGGGGTGGAGCTGCACATCTCACGTGATATGAGCTGGGCTGAGCCTGGGGAGCTCCAACCATGAGGCTACAGCGACACACGCGTACGGGGCAACCAGCAGAGAGCCTTTCAGACAGTCATTTGCAACCCGAGCCATTGCGCAACTCATCATCACCAATCTCCAACTCGAAGACGTCGCCCGCGACCTGCAAATCGAAGTCTGCATTACCGGTTCCCGTCGCTATCAAGCCTTTTCTTTTTTCCTCCTACCTCCCGTTTCTGTGTCCCCACCTCAAACCCCAGAGACTCCGTCTCCGAAAGGAGCAGCCGACAATCAGCAAGATGGCGCTCGACAACTATTATCAGAACAAGATCGAGGCGATGAAGCTCGAGATCCTCAAAGGGCAAGCTGTTCTGAGACGTCTTGAAGCCCAGAGGAATGACTACAACTCGCGCGTACGGCTCCTCCGCGAGGAGCTCGGACTCCTCCAACAGCCTGGCTCCTACGTCGGTGAAGTCGTCAAAGTCATGGGCACCAAGAAGGTTCTTGTAAAGGTGCACCCCGAAGGAAAATACGGTTAGTCTATCCCGATGCAATGCAAAGCTCCTGGCCTTGTCGCAGCCCTGCCGCCCGCCGTGGATGAGTCCCTTTTTTGACTAACAGCCTTGTGTTTTTGCCATCGTAAATAGTCGTCGATATCGCCGACTCCGTTGACGTCACCAAGCTTACCGTTGGCAAGCGAGTAACGTTATTGTCTGACAGCTACAAGCTCGAGAAGATGCTCCCGTCCTCGGTCGATCCTCTTGTATCTCTCATGATGGTGGAAAAGGTTCCCGACAGCACATACGACATGATTGGTGGTCTCGACAAGCAGATCAAGGAGATCAAGGAGGTCATCGAGCTCGGTCTCAAGCATCCAGAGCTATTCGAGTCCCTCGGTATCGCTCAGCCCAAGGGTGTGCTCCTTTACGGCCCTCCCGGTACCGGCAAGACGCTGCTTGCCCGAGCCGTCGCCCACCACACCGACTGCAAGTTCATCCGCGTCTCAGGCTCTGAGCTGGTGCAAAAGTACATTGGTGAGGGTAGCCGCATGGTCCGCGAACTGTTCGTCATGGCCAGAGAGCACGCCCCGTCCATCATCTTCATGGACGAAATCGACAGTATTGGTTCCTCGCGTGTGGAAGGCTCCTCGGGCGGTGATTCGGAAGTGCAGCGCACCATGTTGGAACTGCTCAACCAGCTCGATGGTTTCGAGCCCACCAAAAACATCAAGGTCATCATGGCCACGAATCGACTCGACATTCTCGACCCCGCCCTTCTGCGTCCCGGCCGTATCGACCGAAAGATCGAGTTCCCTCCTCCGAGCGTGGAGGCGCGTGCCGACATTCTGAGGATCCACAGCCGAAAGATGAACCTCACCCGTGGTATCAACCTCACCAAGATTGCGGAGAGGATGAACGGCTGCTCCGGTGCCGAGCTCAAGGGTGTCTGTACCGAGGCGGGTATGTACGCCTTGAGGGAAAGGAGGGTTCACGTCACACAAGAGGACTTTGAGCTGGCAACGGCCAAGATCCTCAACAAGCACGATGACAAGGAGGTCTCCCTCGCCAAGTTCTTCAAGTAGATTATCAAACCTCTTGTCCAGAGACCATGCTTTCCTTTCATCTGGGGGTCAGTTGGACACGCATTCAGCTATCACGGGGGCATTACTCTAGACATCATTTATTTGCCCAGGGATATCGCTTCTGGTGCCCAGGGGCGTTGCGCCATTACTTATATCCCAAGGCGAGCCTATACACCCCATCGCATTCAAGCTGGTGGACGCGCCGTCACGGTTGAAAGCAAGGGAAGGCGGAGGAAGGGACACCGCAATTAAGCACGAAAGACGAGTAAATTTCCGCATGGGGTTTCAGGGCGTTTTGTTCATGGGGGAGTGCCTTTATTTATGTATTTTCTTCCAACCCATCCGCTTTCGATTCACCCAAAGCCGAGGAAAGTGGAAAAGAAGAGGCAGGAGGCGCTCCAAGTTTCGAGGCAGTCCTGTAAGGATAATGTATAACAATGAAGAATCTTCCTAAGCCATAGACTAGCAAACTGCAGATGGAGTTTCCAGGCACGCACGTCTCCCCTTACGTTTATTTCCCCCAAGAGGTTTATCCTTTCCCCGAGTCGTAGTGCGCCGTACGGACTCGTAGTCGGCGCATGACAACGAGGGTGGCCATCTCGAGACGTGAGCAATCAACGAAAGCCTGCTTGTCTACATTAAGAGACTGGCAGCTTCTATTTGCGGAAACCTACACTCCGAAGCACACGGTGTTGGACAGACATCCCTCGGGTGACGCGAATTATCTCATAACCCTTGTTGACTGGGGCATGTAAGACTTTGGTCGTCAGTTCGCCCAAGTACCCTCTCTCCTCTCACTCTCTACCTTTCGTGAGAAGGCGTTCCCGTGGTCATCACTACTCAGGGGACGGTGAAGCGGGTGGATTCATGAGATGAAGACATGTTGCAAAGATACAGAGGACTAGCAAGAGGAAAACAAGAAGAAGCAGAGCTCACGAGCGACATCAGAGAGGCAAGCAAACGCGGGAAGGGGAACAGAACCTCGAGACGTTTCGCAACAAGTCGAAGCCGCCAAAGTAGAGTTCCACAAGAAATATACCAACTACGGAGAAAAGGGCGGAATGTGCCTCGTCACTCTTTTCAAGCTTGTTTCTTTCCTTCTTTCTTTCGTTTCGTTTCGGGCCAGCTCATGCGGCTACCTTTCTCGCACACCGGTCTCCACGGCCTTGACAGGTCGCAACGCGAAAGGATGAGGAGGAGACGAAGGCCTAGGCCTTTGTGACGTGAGAAAGGAGGGGGGCGTGTAGTGCGAGCCCCATTTACAGAAATCTCGTAAAACGTATGTTGCTCGAGGACCTGTCCACATCACCAGCCTACGGCGGCAGTTTTACGGAGGAGACGTTCCCCTAGACTAACTTGATAAAGAGACATCAAGTTACAGCCCAGGGGACGGGCGACCTGTGAAAAGACTTGGAGCCTACGCTGTCAATAGTTTCTCTCGCCCCGCCCCTTTCTACAAAAGTAGGTCCTTGAGTAGATAGAGTCTACTATCGTGCGTCTGGCCAAGAAGGAATCCTCCCGCAGAAGAGGACTTTTTTGTCTTCTTTTTTCTATATCTAAGCTCTGTTCTGAGCATCACATCCTCGGGTCAGTTGCAGATCCCAAAAGGGGAGCAACACCCCAAAGCGCCCCTAAGCCTTACTCGAAAGATCTTGCCGCGGTATCGACTCCGAGTAGCGTTGGGTACGAGGGACTTTGAAGGCAAACAGGATGGCTTATGCTGTATATGGATATGGGGAAGGCGGAGATTTACGCGCCAACGCAAGGTTTCGGACCTCTTCATTTCTCAAGGCGTCGAAGAATGTTACCTCGGGCAGTCTACGGTATGGTGTAAAAAGATTCAACGGGCAAAACAGGTAGGCTGCACGGAAGGGGGTGGGCGGGAATGTCTCTCAAAGGCCCCATCTTTGATGGACGGCGAAAAACCGGTTTTTCTGGCAGAACGAGTCGAAGAAGAGGAGAGTGAGAGAAGGGGAGGGGGTGGAAGCAGTGTGAGGAGAACGGTAAGTCGCGGTGCCGCGAGCTAAGGCACGATTTCCCTGGAAGCCCGCTCCATCAGCATCCAGCACCACCCCCCTTCTCCCATCCTGGAGCTAAACGGAGGTATGGATGTCCTGGAGAGAGAAGATCATTAGAGCCTCCCAGCATGGGTTAAAAAGCAGGATGCAGGGGCGAGAGGTGGAAATATGGGGATCCACCGTCGTTCCTGGTAGCTAGCTACTACACTACTCTTCTCCCAGTTCTGTTTCCTCCTTTTCCCCCAGCCCATTTCCCTTTTGGGTTTGACAGGGAATAGCCATGGAAAAGAAGCTCCCCTTCGCCTTGGGGAATCGGAGGAAAGGCCCTGTCGAAAGAACTCAAAGTGGATAAGGAGGGTGGGTCGTGCAATGAGGCGAATGCAAGTCGAGGAGAAAGTTGAATATATGACAACATGGAGAGAGATGGGGGCCGAGCAGCCTCGATTAAGAACTGGCAATAATACCCAACAAAGTTATACCTATCTGACGAAGTGGTGCTTCTTTGGACCATGTCAGACAGGAGCCACTTGTCCGCTCCGATTTGACTCGAGTTAAGCAGCAGTTGTTCAGACCGATGACTTCATATGATTCCCCGCAGCCAACTCTCCGTGACGGTTCCGATGCTGCGAGCGAGAGGCTCGAGGGCTTGTTGCTTCGAGACGGTTGTTAAGGTTTCCCATCTCCTCGACCAACGTTGGGGGCGTGATTGGTTGAGATTACTGGCGAGCGAGAAACTGTCGGCAGGCGCGCCTTGGTCATAAGAGGCATTGAGGATGACTCATGACATGACCGCTCGCAGCATCAAAGACACGAGATCGATCTCGGACATCTCAGGGCGGCCAAGAGCCGGCTTGAGAGATTTTCAGGGTCCACTTCGACTGCAGAATCCTACCTTGGGATGAATTAAAGGGACGGTTAAGGAGAGCATTAGATTGAAAAAGAAGAGTCTAGATTTTCGTGTTTCTAATCACGAGGTGAGATATTCAACCCTCCAGTCCTTTGCCGCCGAGGTAGTTTCTAAGCACGAAGCGTACACTACTATATCGCAGTAATAAGTTGGAATGTTCAAAGTGCAGTGTCCTGCCAAGAGGGATGGCATACGTCATCGAAAGAAGCGGAGCGTCAGGTGGAGACAATACAGCCTGTTCACGGGCAAAATGGGGAGTACCTGTCTCTAATGCATGAACCTGAAGAGCCCGCAAGTCAACTGTCTTCCCTTGCTTCCCTCTCTTTTGTTTGTCTTTTTCTTCCTCCACACCGCTCCCGTAGCACAAGTCGGGCCGGGGCGCAATCGGAGGGGTGGCTGGCCAATTTGATCGGGACTGGGTGTTCCTGTATTATTACAAAACTCTCTAATAAAAGGAGAGAGGGAGAAGGAAAGAAGAAAAAACGCCATCGAACCATTCTCACGTCTGTCATGCAGCCCCGTTATCCCCCTGCCACCCCTCTCAGCCCCGGCATGCGGGATGCGAGATGCGAGTGAAAAAGAAGCGAACTGGAAACCCCAAAACCCCTCGAAAATACCCAAAGCTGGAACGCGACGACACTGCAAAGAGGAACTGCCCTCTGTGGGTTTTATTCCTCTGCCATGCTCCTTCGGGTGGGGCGCCGGTGGAAGGAGGCCAATGACGTAATGGCGGCGAGGTGAAATATTGCTACCAACGTTCGCATGCAACCCCCATTATTTTCCCATTTGCCTTTTGTGGGACTCTCGAAAACTACCGCCAGCTTACAGGTACAAGTACCAGTGGCCTAGACTGGCTGGCTTGGCTGGCTTGGCTGGGATGAGGAAAAGTTGCAGGGACAAGAATAGCCTGGGCTAAAGACGCTCCCTCCTGTTCCGCCCTCGTGGAAGTGTTTCGGGCGGCGAAGCCTTCGGGTCCTCCCCATCTAGGGAATTTGGGGAGGACAGCCCTCGGAAGGGCCTCTTGAAACGGGCATTGGAGCAGTGTGTTGCGAATAGAGCATCGGTCTCGGCTAGGCGCTCCTCTTCTTCGGACGATTTGAAGACCGCCAATCGCCAAATTCCACCTAGTACATCGAGGAGCCGATTCTCTTACCTGTCGCGGTATTCATCATTCATCATTCATCATTCCTCATTCATGCTTTGGCTCTTCGTCTCACTCGTTTTTGTCGGGGCTGGCTGGGAGCCAGACCCGTAACTGTTTTTGACGAAACATGGAGCCGCAAAATGATATGCAGCCCCAGGCCATGGCTTCTGGTAGCCTGCTAGCTGCTCTCCCAATTGATGCAAGGCGCGCATGCAAAAGGGAGGTGGGGGTTGGTTCTCGCTGTTGCTCGCAACCGCAAATATACGGTTCTTGAACGCCACCCTCTCGTAGGGACACCTCAAGAGTGGATGCCGGCAGGCCTGCTAGAAGAGTTGGCTGCCATTGGGTAATTGTCAAATAGAACATTGGATACCTTGTGGGTCAATGTAATGATGAGAGGGCGCTCAGCTAGAAAAGCGTTACAAGGATAGTCGTGATCAATCGCCCTTCTGCACAAATCAAAGTGGACAAGAGGCAGCACTGGCAGGCTGGCTTGGCTGGGTGCACTGCAACACATCCACTGCCTGGCATCTTCCCAACTTCCCTGGCCTGCCCCGCGCCGGCCCCAAAAGCATTGTTCTATTACCCCAATTGGCGAGGATCAGCAAGGAGTGCAGGAACGCATCGACCTGCCAACTTTTTTCCTTTTCTTTTTCTTTTTTTCTTTCGTTACCCTGAATTTCCTCTCGTCGAAGAACCCAAGGGAGCCTACCGAGGTACTCTTGGTCTATTTTAGTTGAAGACTGCCCTCTCGCGCGCTGCTTGTCTCAGTTGGCAGGAGGCCATGGCTTTGCTTGATCTGTATTAGATTCTATCCATTACCGGCGCAAGGTTGGTGCCCCCAATCACTCGAATAGGGCCCTTCGTGTGACGAGATCTAGGGTGATAGGGTGTGAGGTATATCCGTCGCACATTAATATCAAATCCTACA